AGCAGCAGCAGCAGCAGCAGTTTGGGTTCTTTTTGCTGCAGGCTTTTGGTTCTTCTTGGTCTTAAATGCCTTTATTCCAGTGTCAGTGAGGTTTAGTTCAACATAAACTTAGTCTAGAGTTCAAGGCTTCATTTGCTGTGCAGTGGATTCCACAGGAATCCTGCGCTAAGCTTGCTGCCAGCTGTCTGCTGCTGCTGCTGCTGCTGCTGCTGCTGCTGCTGCTGCAACTGAGCACTTAGCAGCAGCAAAAATTCAAAAGTCTTAATGGGGGCTCCTGCTGCTGCAGCCAGCCCCCGCATGCCTCCTACCTGCAGGGCTGTCGGGGAAGAAAGCCGCGACAATTTTGGCCTTTGAATTTTCTGAATTTTGCGAATTTTGAGTTTTTTGAACTTTTAAAATATTAAATTTTCTAAATTTCGCAAATATTAAAAAGAAAAAGGAACTCTTTGGGCCGCTGAGTTGGGGTTTGGCCGTGCGCTGCCGACGCGGTCACCTGCGGCGCCCGGAGCTGATCTTCGGAAACTTTGGAGTTTTTCTCGATTTTTTTGCCTTTTTTTGATTTAAATAACTTTTATTTCATTTTATTTCATTTTTAATTCTTTAATTTCATAAAAAAAGACTTTTTGGCCTCCGGAAACTCAGAAAACGGCTCCGTTCATGAATTGCTCAGCGCAACTCGCACACAGTGCTCGTGATGCGCGCGGCTGCGAAATTGGCTGCTAATTTCCTTCTATTGCAATTAATATTCTTAATTTTGGGTTTATAAATACAAATATAAATATAAATATAAACATAAATATAAATATAAATATAAATGTAAATATAAATATTAACATTAACATTAATATTCATATTTATATAAATGAAGACTTCAAAAGGATGTGAGTAGGTTTAGGTCTTGGGGGCTCTTTCTGAACTTGAACAGAATTCACCTCTATGCTGCAGCAGCAGCAAAACGGCCACATTCTGTGGGCATGCTGCTTCACTAGACACATATTTCCTGCTGCTGCTGCAGCAGAAGCTGCAGCAGAAGCTGCTGCTGCAGCAGAAGCTGCAGCAGCGGAACTTGTTCAGTTGACTGCAGCAGCATTAACAATTTGGCATTTTTAATATCGAAAGGCTTTAATTGGCAAAATGCAATAAATGCAATTTATTAAAGACTTTGAATAAGAAAAAGTTTATCTGGAAAATTAAATTTAATAAAAAACAATTTAAAAGAATAATGCAAAGTTTTCCACAAGACATGCAGCACTGCAGCTGGAGAAACAAAACCTGAATAGATAAGCAGCTGCAGCACTTTGGCCACAAGACACAGAGCAGCCCTTTCCGGAAACAACTGCTGCTGCTGCTGCTGCTGCTGCTGCTGCTGCTGCTGCTTCTGCTGCTGAAGCTTTAATCGAATTCGTTGATATTATTCTTGAAGAGTGCAGCCAGCAAACGCCTCGGAATGATATTAGGAGGCCCTGCTGCTGCAGCAAAGCAAGCTGCTGCAGCAAAACGAGCTGCTGCAGCAAAACGAGCTGCTGCAGCAAAACGAGCTGCTGCAGCAAGACGAGCTGATGCAGCAAGACGAGCTGCTGCAGCAAAGAAAGCTGCTGCAGCAAAACAAGCTGCTGCAGCAAAACGGGCTGCTGCAGCAGCCCGTAGGCTCTGAGGCGGCTCCCAGCGAGCTGCCAGTGCAGCAAAGCGCTGGAATTTGCACTTGTTGGCTCAAAACTTGGAAAATAAAAGCATTTATTAATTAAAATATTAAAAAGGAAACATATTTATTGAGTTTTATTGGCATTTTCCGGAAAAAAAGAAAGATTTTCGTCCAAAAATGAAGCAAATGCGAGGGAAATAAAAACCCCGCCGCGGGGTTGGTGTAGTGGTTATCACGTCTGCTTTACACGCAGAAGGTCGCGGGTTCGAACCCCGCACCCCGTACTTTGAATTATAAATTAAATTAATTAAAATGCAAGAATTAATTTAGTTTAAATGTTTAAATTAATTAAATTAATTAAATTAATTAAATTAATTTAAATGTTAATGCTTAAATTAATTTAAATGTTAATGTTTAAATTAATTTAAATGCTTTGTGTTTCAATTTATTCGAATGTCTACCAATTATGAATTAAATTAATTAAAATGTAAGAATTAAATTAGTTTAAATGTTTAATATTTAAATTAATTAAACTAATTTAAATATTTAATGTTTAAATTAATTTAAATGCTTCGTGTTTCAATTTATTCGAATGTCTAATCGCTTCTGGGTAACTCGAAATAAAATAGTTGAAGTAAAATTGTTTGCAGCTTTTGAGTTATTTTAAATTTTAAAATTTATTTTTAATTCTGAATTAAATGCTGCTTCATAAAAGACTTATTCTGCAATTATTTTATTATTTTTCAAATGCTTATTGGCATTTATTAATGGCAGTTATTAATGGCAGTTATTAATGGCAGTTATTAATGGCAGTTAATAATAATGGCAACTATAAATGGCAATCATAAATGGCAATTATTAATGACAATTATTAATGGCAGTTGTTAATGATGGCAACTATAAATGGCAATTATAAGTGGCAATTATAAATGGAAATTACATTTATAAATGGCAATTATAAATGGCATTATTTTCTTAACCAGCAGCTCTTAGTCTCCAGATTTGCCTGAGACATTTATTTTAAATATTTAAAATATTTACAATTCTGAAGTGGCATTTAACTGCTGCTTCGCAATTTAATTCTTTTTGAAGTTTATTTGCTGCAGTGGAATTATTTTATTTCATTTTTGAAGATTAATTTGCCTCAAAGTTTTGTTTAAAAGGCTCAATTGAAGGTTTTATTGAACAAAAGATTTAAATAAAAATAAAATTCTTTTCTTTCACAACTTCGACACTTTTTGCTGCTGCTGCCAACTGCTGCTGCAGCAAACTGCTGCAAGCCGTGCAGCTGCAGCTCCACTTGAAAGGGAAATAGATCATTTATTTATTAATTTAACATTTATTATTTATTTATTTATTTATTTATTTATTTATTTATTTATTTATTTATTTATCTTCACAGATGAACTTGGCTGGAGCTGCATCAAAATACGGCTAAGACGGAATGACTTTGGGGATTTATAGTTTTCATTTTTATTCGAAATAAAATCTTTTTGAGTTTTTAATTCTTTTTAATTTGCTTTTTGTCTTTATTAAAACTGGGCCAGCTAAGTGGGCCTGTGGGGCTTTAATTATATTCTTTTTTTCCCCATCTTGGCTTTTGTGTCTTTGCTGCAGCAGCAGCTTTCTATTCGCTGCTGTGTCTCTGCTGCAGCAGCAGCTTTCTATTGGCCTTTGCGTCTTTGCTGCAGCAGCAGATTTCTATTCGCTGCTGTGTCTTTGCTGCAGCAGCAGCTTTCTATTCGTCTTTGTGTCTTTGCTGCAGCAGCAGATTTCTATTCGCTGCTGTGTCTTTGCTGCAGCAGCAGCTTTCTAGTTGCCGTTGTGTCTTTGCTGCAGCAGCAACTGTTTATTCGCTGCTGTGTCTTTGCTGCAGCAGCAGCTTTCTATTCGCTTTTATATCTTTGCTGCAGCAGCAAATTTCTATTCGCTGCTGTGTCTTTGCTGCAGCAGCAGCAGCAGCTTGCAGCAAGTTCTTCTAATGGCAATTGGGCGATGCTGCAGCAGCAAAGTTTGCGAAGAAGAAGACACAAGACCAGCAACAAAAGGCAGCAAATTCAAATAAAGAAACCACAGGGAGGTTGGGCCTTTTTCTTTGCTGCTGCTGCCACTCCTTGAATGGTTTATTATTTAATTATAACTTTTAAACTTTAATTATAATTTAAAAAAAGTTAAAATTAAAACTAAAGTCCCTTTTAAGCAGCCAAGCTGTGCTTGGGTCAGCTGTGCAGCCACCGTGAGGTGTCTGGTGAGCTCGTTCGGCCTTTTCAGTGCATGCAGCACGCAGCAGCATCTTTAAACTGATCAATTAAAAGAAAAAGGCATTTTATTTGATTAATTTAATGCAAATATTTCATTTAATTCAAAGATTGCAGCAAAAACGAAGAACTTCCGCCACTTTCCGCACCCCGCCACCCCCTCAGCGCCAGCTCTGAGGTGTACAGACAGTAGAACCGCACTGCTTGTCCGTCGTAAAAGGCAGCGAAAAGGATTTAAAATGCAAATTAGTTTTTAATTTGATGTTTGATTTAATTTTAAATGAATAAAAAAGTGAATGTCACTTGGTGTAGTGTTATTTCCTGCAAGGATTTGTGCAGCTGGGCAGCAGTGTGTGTGTGCGCCGCTGCACACACTGCACCTTCTTGCGCTGCATTCGGGCCAAAAGTCCGCAGCAAATCAATAATTGAAACAAAAAATAGAAATAATAAATTATTTTGAATTTTATTTTTCTCAATTTCCGCGAAATGGCGCAAAAAGCCGGCGGGTTGCACTGGGTTGCTGAGGTGTATGGACACCTCGGCTCCAGCGCAGGACTGCCGCCTCCCCTGTGCGTCGCCTCCGCAGAAAAGGATTTCCAGGGCCGATTTCCGAAGTTTAAACTGCATTAAAAAGGTATTTTTGAGAAGATATTTATGAAGGAGTTCTTTGTTTCTGGACAGGAGTGGATTTGGTAGAATTTTGCAAAGAGTTCTGCAGAAAGAAAGGCCGAGAGAGCTGCGCCGGCGGGACTGGCGGCGGCGAGCCCAGCCGGGCTGTCTCGACAGCTGGCGGGGCGCGGAAGTCCAAACTTCGAATTAAATGGCAAATAAATATAAATTAGAAATAAATAAATGCAAAAAGAATTATAATTTGGAGTTGGAAAGGAGTTTCGGCGGCCGCTGGCACTTGTGCATGAGAGGGTGACCATCCCGGGGCTGCGGGCGGCGCGCAGCAGCGGCTGCTGCGCCGCAAATTGCGTTTTTTCGCAATTAATTTAATTTAATTTAATTTAATTTAATTTATTTTATTTTATTTTTCATTTTCTTCTTTATTTTCCCCTTTTTGCCTCCAACTGGCCCTCCAAAGCGCCTCCGGCCCCATGGCGACGGCGGCGCGGGGGGCGCCCGCGCGGCGTCTGTACACCCCAGCGCCCGCGAACCCCCAGCCCCTCCCAACTGCCTCTTCGCACTTTTCTTTTTCTTTGGAAAGTCCGGAGTATTTGTCTGGCTACGGGGGCCCCCTGGAGGGCCCTTACGCGGCGTCTTGGGGGCCCCCGGGGCCTCCGGGGGCCCCCGCGGAGCTGCAGCAGCAGCAGCAGCAGCAGCAGCAGCAGCAGCAGCAGCAGAAGGCCTGGGCCTTCGAGGGGGCCCCCAAGGGCTCTTTGCTGGGCCCCCGGCGCAGGGCCATTTTCCGGTCTTCGGTGTTTGCTGCAGTGGCGCTGCTGCTGTGCCTGGGGGGCCTCAAGGCCGCGCAGCAGCAGCGGCAGCAGCAGCAGCAGCAGCAGCAGCAGCAGCGCGTCGCCGCCGCCGCTGCTGCTGCTGCTGCTGCTGCTGCGGGGGACGCAGACGCGCAGCGGTGGGCGGAGACGCTGGCAGCCAGCGCAGACGAACTGCAAGTGACTTGGAAAAGAGTTTCTCGAGAAGTTCGCGAAGTTTTTTCGGAGAACTTTTCTTCTTTAGCAGCTTTTTCAGAAGACTTTGGAGAGCGGGAGGCGCTGCTGCTGCTGCAGCAGCAAACGGAGGCCATCTGGGGTTTGCTGCCGCGCGAGGGCGCCTCGGAGGCGCAAAAAACGGAGTTTTTGCTGCAGGCGAAGCTGCAGCAAACCGTTTGCTGCGCTGCAGCAGCAAGACTCCGCAGCCTCGCTCAACTTGCTGCTGCAGCAGCAGCAGGGGGGCCCCCCGTGGCGCTGCTGGGGGGCCCCCCGCCGCGCTTTGGGTTGGCTTTGCAGGGGCCCCGAACTGCGACTTTTCGCGAGTTCCTGCTGCTGCTGCCGCAGCCCGCAGCAGCAGCAGCAGCAGCAGCAGAAGCAGAAGCAGCAGCAGCAGCAGCAGCAGCGGGGGAGGAGGCGGTAGTGCCTGCGGAAGCTGCGGAGAGACTCGCGGGGCTGCTGCAGGCCGAAGAAAAGTACTTGGAAAATGAAAAGTGGATTTTGGAAAAGTTTAATTCCATCAAAAGTTTGTTGGAGTTGGGATTTTGGGAAAGAAGTGCAGAAATTGAGGAGTTTGTGGGGTTTTTGGAGCACCGAGAAGCCTCTTTGGAAAAAGAAAAGATCTTTTTCGAAAGTTTTTTCCAAGTTTTGCCAAACTTGAAAAAAAACTGGAAAAGAAATGAAGTGGAGAGGCTTTGCCAGCAGCTGTGGGCGCAGCAGCAGGGACGAGCTGCGGATACACTCCGTCAAAAAGTGGAAACTGCCAAACTTTCTTTTTCCGAAAACTCCCCTTTTGCTTCTGCTCTTTTCCTTCTTTAGAGCTTTCCAATTAAAATAAAAACTCTTTTTTCGAATCCGCCGCTCTTTTTTATCCCAGCGGCTCCCCAACGCCGCAAACGCGGTGTACGTACACCCCAACTTGCGCCCGCGCGCCGGGTGTACGTACACCCCAACTCGCGCCCGCGCGCCGGTGTACGTACACCCCAGGAGCGGCGCCGAAACGCCAGTGGTTTTCATTTGTTGTTTTCATTTGTTGTTTTCATTTATTGTTTTCATTTATTGTTTTCATTTATTGTTTTTTGCTTTTCCAACTCGTTTCTCTCGCGAGAAACTGTTTTATCTTTCGGCGCTTCGCTGCCAGTTCCCGCTGCTGCTGCTGCTGCAGCGCAGCAGCAGCTTAGACCCGCCCACTCTCGAGTTCCCCTCGAGTTTCCCGAATTAACCACTTTAAATGAATTCTAATTAATAAATTTAAATAAATAAATCAATTAATGCACAAATTAATGCATTTTGTTGCACAGAAACTGCTGGCAGCTTCGATTTGCACAAATCGAGCACTGGGAACACTGGGCGGTGGTCTTGGAGTGTACGTACACTGCAAGTTCCGCGGCTCTCTCTCCCAAACTTGAACTCCAAAAAGCTTTTCAGAATTTATTTCCAAAAATAAAATTATAAAAATGAAATAATGAAATAAACTCTTCAGTCTTTTTGTTTGCGCGGTGGAGGCGGGAGCTGGGGCTGGTCTGGTGTCTAGGGAGGTGTCTGAACAGCCTGCGGCGACCGCGGCGCAGTTCGAACCATTTTGAACTCTTTTTTCGAGAAAATAATTTAATTTTAAATCAAAAAAAGTGTTTAAAATGATTTTTATTTATTTAATTCAAAAATAATCTCCAAATTCTTCAATTCCGAAAAGTAACACCCCCGGGACCCGCGCCGCTCAGGTGTCTAGACACCCCGGCCTCCTCTCACCACCGCAGACGAAACGCGCGAAAGAAATAATTGTTTTAATTCAAACATTTTAATTTAATTTAAATTTAAAATCTTTTATTTAAAATAAATTCAGAGATCAATTGCGAAACATTTTACCCTCTCCAGCCCAAGACACACAAGCTGTGCACACCAAACCCCAACCTAAACCCTAAACCCTAAACCCTAAACCCTAAATCCTGAACCCTAAGCAAAGCTGAATTTTGTGGATTGAATTAATTTGTTTATAATTAATTATTTTAAATTTTGTTCTAAATTTTAAATGAAATTTTAAAAAGAGAAGCTGCTGGTGTTTGGCATTTCTCGTCTCGAAAAATAATTTTAATTTAATTACTTTCAAGATTTATATTCTGCAAATTGTAAAATGCAAAAGTTATATATAAATTAAATTAAAATTAAATTAAATTAAATTAAATTAAATTAAATTAAATTAAATTAAATTAAATTAAATTAAATTAAATTAATTAAATTAAAATCTTTTCAAAATCAACAAATGCAGCAGCTTCTCTCCTGCAGCAAGCTGGAAACAAGTCCGGTGCGTGGCTAGCTAGCTGCAGCAGCAGCAGCAGCTGAAGCAGCAGCAGCTGCTGCTGCAGCAGCTGGCCAAAACAGAAGGGCTTTGCTGCTGCTGCAGCTGCAGCAGCTAGCCAAAACGGAAGGGCTTTGCTGCTGCAGCTAGCTTAGATAAGCAGCAGCAGCTAGCTGAGACAAGCAGCAGCAAAGAGCTAAGACAAGCAGCACCAGCTAGCTACGACGAGCAGCAGCAGCAGCAGCAGCAGCAGCAGCAGCAGCAGCAGCAGCAGCAGCACTTTTGCGATTCTTCTCATTTCAAGTTGCTGGCAGCAAACTAAACGTTTTGAGAAGCTTTAAACGGACTATTTATTGAATGAAATATATCTTTTTTGATTTCTTTTAAAGATATTTTAAATTCTTTTTTATTATTTTTAATTTGAAAAAAGAAATAAACCTTTTAATCTTTTTCGCTGTTTGCGAGAAAACCTGTTCAGTGGTGACCTGCTGCACTTCTGCTGCAGTTTGCTGCAGCAGCAAAACGAACAAAAAGATCTTTTTAGTTTCTTTTTAAAAGATCTTTTTAATTATTTTAAAAGATCTTTTTAATTTATTAAAAAAGATCTTTTTAATTTATTTTAAAAGATCTTTTTAATTTATTAAAAAGATCTTTTAATTTATTTAAAAAGATCTTTTTATTTAATTTTAAAAGATCTTTTAATTCATATTTTGAATTTCTTTCATCTGCAAGTCTTCTGGTCTTTCTGTTCCGCTGCTGCAGCACAAATCAGCCGCTGCGATTTTAGCTGCTGCGCTTTTACCTGCTGCCTATTTGCTGCTGCTGCTGCTGCTGCTGCCGCTCCCGCTGCTGCTGCTGCTGCTGCCGCCCCCGCTGCTGCTGCTGCCGCTCCCGCTGCTGCTGCTGCTGCTGCTGCTGCTGCTGCTGCTGCCGCTCCCTCTGCTGCTGCTGCTGCTGCTGCTGCTGCTGCTGCTGCTGCAGCTCAGCGGATGGGCAGGCTGAGCTCCCCGTCCTCGAGGAGTTGTTCTTTTATGAAATTAAGAAAAAGTTCTCCAATAAAATCATAACGAGGGTTTAGATCGTCCTGAGTTTGGGGCTGGGAGGGGTGGATCATTCGGGCGCTGGCGGCGGCGGCGGCCAGTGCAAGAAGGAGGGAAACTGCGGAAAATTGGAGTTTCATTCTCGTTTTTGAAGGAACTTGCGACGAATTTGCAAATCAAATGCAAAATTGAACTCTTTTGATCCAAGATTTCCCTTTTTTAGACGAGTTTTAGCGGAAAAATGAAGAAGTTCAACACTTGTGCAAGTTGCTGCTCCCACCCGGCGCGCGCGGCTGCTCGCGCGACGCAGCCACGATAGGTGACCTTCGGGGCTTGAACTCCTCAAAACGCTTTTATTTGTCGATTATTTTAATTTAATTTCTTTTAATTTATTTTAATTTATTTTAATTTCTTTTAATTTGTTTTAACGGATTTAAAAATCCTTAAAAAGCTCAAAAAACGCGAAGCTTCGCCCTTCTTTCCTCAAGAACCAGTTCGTGTGCTGCAGCCGGAGCTCAACCAGACCATCAAAAGAACTCATTTAGCACTTCAAAAAGCATTTCTTTTGCTTTTAAACTCTTTATTTAATTCATTTCTTTTTATTTATCTTTTTATTTATTTTTTTCTGTTTATTTATCTGCCATATACGCGTAATTCGCGCGAGTTGCAACTTGCTGGCCGCACTCGCTCCAGGTGACCTCTGTGCAAGTGCAGCAGTTTACTTCTCTCTTTCGCTTTAAGAATTGGAAATTGAATTTGAATTGTGAAATTAAATTTGAATTAAAAAATTAAATTTAAAAGAACATTTAATTGCCTTTTTCAAGAGCTTTCTTTCCAACACGGAGTTCCATTTCAAGAGTTGTTCGGATTTCATACCCGCCCGGTGCAGCTCTGCGGGTGTTTTGCAGGAATTTTGGAGTCAAAAATAGATTTATTTGAATAATATTTGAATAATAATTCAATAAGAACTTCCTAATAATTAAATTAAAACAAATTAAGCAATTTATCTGCAGCATTTCCCTCCGCACGAGCCCTTATACTGGCTTTTCTTCTTTGCATTGCTGCAGGCTTTTAGATGAAACGTGAACTTCTTCCGTTTTTCAAAGTGGAATTGCGCTGTAATGACACCATTTATTTTGCTTTTTAAATCACTTTAAGTTGTTTAATAATTCCATTTTTAATTTTAATTCAAAAAGCCAAAAGTTTTAGGAAGAAAGACATTAGAAACGGGTTTTGTGCAATTCAGCAGAACCATGTGAGGCACTGCCGGTTCAAATGCAACAACTTGATCTAATTCAGTTTAAATATCTTTTTTAATTTGGTTTTATATTTAAATTCAAATTTATAAAATCAAATTAAATGAATTTATTTCCTTTTTCTTCTTTCCACTTTCTTCTGCAGCCCTCAGTCGCTTTCCGCCTCTTCACCGTTTTCCCTCTTGCAGATCTCTTCGGTTTCTTTTTGAGTTTCTTTGATGCGCTCCAGCACAATCTCCAGCTGCAGCAGCAAACCCTAAACCCTAAACCCTAAACCCTAAACCCTAAACCCTTGGCCGTATACCCTAAACCCTGACCCCTGCAGCGGGGCCGTGGGGCGGCCTACAGAGCGCTCGCGCTCTAAGCCTAAAGTTCAAGCCGTTTAGGGTTTAGGGTTTAGAGTAATCTCTTCCGAGCTTCTATTGCCGTTTAGGGTTTAGGGTTTAGGGTTTAGGGTTTAGAGTACTCTTTTCCGAGCTTCCACCGCCTCAGGCACCATTCTGCTTAAATGAGACTCAACTGTCGTCCTTAGCTGCTGCAGCAAATCATTCCTGAAAACCATCAAAGCACGCCCCAAACCCTAAACCCTAAACCCTAAACCCTAAACCCTAAACCCTAGACCTTGAACCCTAAACCCCAAACCCTAGGCGTGCGCGCTGAGCCCTGGCTTTCGAGGCCTCTGGAGTGCACGCCTTTCGCTCTCGGCGTACATGGTGGGGCCCCTATAGTCGAGGGTTTAGGGTTTAGGGTTTAGGGTTTAGGGTTTAGGGTTTGGCTGTTAGAAATTCACCTTCTTTTGCTCTGGGGGCTAAACCTCTGCAGCAGCGGCAACGCCCGCTCTAAGCAAGAAGCCTGTTTTTCACTAAGTTCGATTTTGCGCTCCAGAGACGCGTCCCCCCGAGTCAGTTCCGCCTGCACGCAAACCCTAAACCCTAAACCCTAAACCCTAAACCCTAAACCCTAAACCCTGAGGCTTACGCCCTGGGTTGGGCAGAGCCAAGCCCCAGGAGGGTCGCACTGCAATCTTTGGCGCAAGCTGGCGCCCGCCTTTCTTTCTGCGGGGCATCCAAAGGGTTTAGGGTTTAGGGTTTAGGGTTTAGGGTTTAGGGTTTCCTTGCCTCGAGGGAGCGGAACTCCTTGAGCCAGCTGTAAACCGCCTCCGCGGGCTTGCCAGCCTTCAGCAGCAAAACTCCGTAAACCCTAAAAAGTTCGGAGGAGTCTGAGATG